CCCTCTACACATACATACACACACCCGTCCCGAGTCTGTGAAATTGGCATTGTCACACTATCCAAGATGGCGACCTGGATTAAACAACCTTGGATCGAGAACGCCTTGAAGAGCTGTGCCAACAGTTTGCCTAAAATTGCAAGAGCACAAGTATTGAAGGTACGTGTACGTTGTAACAAGGTTTTTGATCTGGAACTACGAAAACCAGGCAATCAGCGTATATTCCAGTCGGCGAAGCTCGCGAAAAAAATGGCGCGAAATATAAAATTGCTTCCAAAGTTTTCATTTGCCTCGCTGGTAATTTAGCATTGAGCGAGAATACATATATGTAGGCAGTACAAAACAGGCATCTACAAATGAGATCTCGACCGTTATAGCGCGATATCGCCTGTTATGACACAAGGTCTCGACTGATGATAGCACGAGATCGCATTGCACAGAAGGTAAGGGGGAATTGCCATTTTGCTATTCTGAGTATCTTGAACATAACAGGTGAATGATCAAAGTATTTAAGGGGATCTATACAAACCGGTCATTGTAAAACGCAGACTGCAGACCGGGGGTAAAATGCAGACTGAGGGTATAATACAGACTGCAGACCAGGGGTAAAATGCAGATTGCAGACTATAGACCCCTGTAGACCAGAGGTAAAATACAGACTAAATGTAAAATGCAGACTGCAGACCTGGGGTAAAATGCAGACTGAGGGTTTAATACAGACTGCACACCAGGGTTAAAATGCAGATTGCAGACTGTAGACACCTGCAGAGCAGGGGTAAAATGCAGACTGCAAATTTTTTAAGTGTACTGTATATTGGGTTATTTCCATTATCGAGTGCTGACCATAAACAGAATTATTCAGGCTAATCACAGCGAAAGTCTGCACTCAGGCTAGCTTGAATATCACTTCCATCCTGAACCTGAATAATGCTCCAGTTAGCCTGTTTACGGTTTGCTCTCATTGATGGAAATGGCAACACAGTTCAGTTAAAGAGTCTACAGTCTACAATCTACATTTTAGCACTGGTCTGCAGTCTGCATTGTACCTTCAGTCTGTGTGTTACCCCCAGTCTGCAGTCTGCATTTTGCACTGACCATTATGTAAACTAAGGTTACAGAATAGGGACACAATTTGACAACTCTTTGTGTGAAAGAAGTACTGTTTCTGTGGAAGGTATACAAAGGGGTCACCTTTTCTCTCAAAAATGGTGACCAAAAGGCTGGGTAGGGGCTTGAACATCAGAGCATCATGACCTCCCTCTACACCGTACCTGTATATAAAACTGTTGGGTAACTACTCCCAAGCTCGCAATGCAAGATTTTGACTTGAGCCACAAGATCTGTACTCCATTGTGATGTCACTAGCTACCATCATTTAGTGGCAATATGCTATTTTGAAGACATTCTGCCAGCATTTGAGATTGGTCAGGAAAAATGGTGGCTTGCGATTCTTGGTGTCCATGGAAAAAATCAATTTCAGGGAGTACAACATGGCCAGCAATGGTTACTGTGAATCTGGATTGACATTTTGGATTGTAAGCAAGATCTAGAATTATTATATAACAAGAAATTCTGTGGATAATAACACAAGATATTTAAATGATATTAAGATTTGGAATTATAATTCAAGATTTCAAACATACATGGTCACCAGGAGATCTTGCCCTTAAAACTCATGATGGTGTTTTGTCATATTTTCAAACATCTCAAATCTTAATAAAATTGCATAAAGCTTTTTTTCTCTGGTAAAAATCTAAGATTTTGTCTAATTGAAAGTACCCCACTGCGGTTGATTTTTTTTCCTCTGATCTTTGCGCTTGGGAGTTTGATGAAACAAATGTCATTTGTTTGATTGATTATGAAATCTCCATCTACGACTCAAGACCTTTTAGAGATAAGTTAACACATCATGTACAGTTCAAGATCTATCTCAACTATTTTCATAAACTTGTTAAACACAAGAGAATTTCGGGAGATCACGAAAGATTTCTGAAGATAAATGAAGACTTCCGAGGAAGATCCAAAGATGTTTGGGTCATACACCAAAAAATTTAAGTATACAGTTAAAGGGTCAAATGTGATATCACTGAAGTCATCAATATCTTCACTAGCAAGGATATGGCAAATACGCCATCTGAGTCCCAGACATGGTTTCATATGACAAGTGATGTATTTTCCCGCAAAACACTTGACAAATGTGTTCGTACATGTATGTAATAATTAGTTAGGGTCATAGAAAGACATGGACTGGACTAACAGTTCTAAAGCATGCTAGACTGCAGCCTGAATGGTTTGAGTTTGAGTTAATGGCCAGGGTAAGACACTTTCTCTCACATTATGCTCCCCCCNTCCTCTCTGCCATATGAATGGGGACCTTTTCCAAATACAGCTGGGTGGAAACTCTGTGATGGACCAAGTCCTAACATGTACTGAACAGGTTTAAATGCTTGGTTTCACCTTTCAGCTTGAAGAAACATCAGCTGTAATCAGTGACAAAAAGCTCTTTGTTAAAGCTGAGTTCTCTCCAGCTGCCATTGAGGAATTTAAAAGGTAAGTGGCAATAAATGTTTTCTGCTTAATACATGTATGTTGAAGGCCAATGCAGTAATGAAAAAAATAAAATTCACACTGACCCCAAACATACAGGCATGCTTGAAATTCTTGCAGGAAGATCAAGGACCATGGAAACCTTGTCACATCGGCTGATCTGGACTAAAAAATCATTCCTTGGGAGTCACTTGAAACCATAACTCATTTTTTAATAATAATGTGTGGAAGTTCTCTAAATGTTATTTGTATTCTTCTTATTCTTCTGCTTACAGTCAGGCTCCTAATTAGACACATTTGAAACATGATGCAAGCTATGACTATAATTATGACTTCATACCTGTTTTTATATTTGCTGCAGAGATAATACAAGTCTTCAGCTTAATGACATCCTAGGTGGGCTGATTTTTATCAAAAAATACTCAGTGCGTGCCACTGAGGAAAACGAGTTGGTAAGTTGTAATTTTTTTATGCATTTCCAAGAGTGCCTCAGGTCATGGCATCATTTGGTGCTTTCCATTTGATGAGATATTTTGAATAAACAGCATTTTCCAGAATTTCCAGAAAAGAGGACAACCTTGCAAAGTACATGTATACCAAACTTTTTCAGAAATTTCTTACAGGGAATTTTTGTACCATTTGATTTTCCTCCACCTGCAATTTCCAGGGTTTTTGGTGGAACTGATCTCTTTTTGGAAATTGAACAATCTAAGGATTTCATTTCTGGAAACTTTACCAGGACATTTCCATACCATCTGTCCCCATTTTAGTGTTTTTTCAGAATTTTTGGTTGAATGGAAAGCAACCTATGTGTACATGTATGTACGTACAGCTGTAACTGAGCTGGGCTAAAATATAAAAGATGTAAATTGCATTTATTTAGAAAACGCCCTGCGAGAAAGCAAACACTAAAACCTGTAGTTCTATATAACTCAGTAGAAAAAAAACTAGTGCGAGCTGTTGATATGACAATGGCATAAACAGAGAGAATAACCTTTTGATTGTTAAAAAAAAAAAATGATTTTCCTTCCTTTTTTTCTTGGAGTGTTTTATAAAAATAAAAAAAAAATTTACTAGCATCCTATTTAAAACATGCACCACACTTGCCTATGTTGCTGCATGCAGAACGTTTTTATAATACGTTTATTTAATCAGTGGCACAGCCATTTGCAGTATGCAATCACCAGTTTCTTACCCTATGTCCCTTCTGAGCCTGCTCCTTTCTTTCCACAATGTGCATCTTGGGCAAGGTCCCATGGCCAAAATGATTGCCTGAATGCTCAGAATAATTTGATTTGCCTACAGTGTGCAGTTCAAATGGCACAGGCTTTATTAGAGTTGTCACCTTGGTTCTCACGTGTATTTTATTGTGTAAACGTTACAAAATTTAACTTCACATCCACTTCTTTATTTGCTGATCAGGATCATGCTGAGTTTTTAATCAGCATTGAAGAGTTCAAGTTTGCTGGAGGGGAGGGCAACACACAGTTTGGTAGTGATGTCACAGATAGTTCAGCCTGTCCCCAGTTTAAGGCCAGACTACAGCAACTGTGGAGAGCCGGACAACTCAGGAAACAACTTGTGGGAGGTAATAGTGAACATTCTCCCCCCACCTGCCCATGTTTTGTTTTACTTTGTTTTTCATTTGTTTGTTTATTTAAAATTTTTGCTGGAGCCTGCATGACCAAGTTTTTTAGGGCACTAGATTTGAAATCTAGAGTCCATGGTTCAAAACGTCTGCCCAGCTACTAAGCTAAGCTGGATTTGTTTTTTTCCAGGTGTTAAGTTCAACTCTGTGGCTATGCTTTGTAACCTAGGAAGTGAATAACTAGCTTGGCTTCTTTGAAGAACTTTTTGTTCTGTTTGTAATATTTATTTGTTGCTGATAGTTAACAGTGTGTTCAATAAGCATGCAGTGGTACTGATTCAGGGTTTTAGCCAGATGGGTGTCCAGGCATCCTGAGGATGGCCACTTTCTATAGAAAATTATTTATTTTTCATATGCTGCCTTTGAGCAGGCCCTATTATAGCACATATTGGACGTCCACTCTTCAAATTCTGGCTAAAAGCCTGTACTGATTAATAACATTATGTACAACATAATTTAATTTCAATGTTACTGAAGATACTGCAGGCTTTATTGCAATCAGTAATAGAGAATTTTTGGAAAAATTAAGCTGATCTGGTTTCATCTTTCCAAATTTTTTGGTGGCTTAATTAATATTATGTCCTCCTTCATCAGAAATTTAAAAAGGTAAGGTTTGTTATTGTGCATGCTACATGTACAGGACTGTGTGTTCATGTACTCCACTTTGGACAGTGATGTTGTTAACGCCGAGAGAAAGTATTACCTCAAACTTCCTTGTCCTCAAACTCCAAATTAAAAAGGACAACAATGCACAGGCCCGCTGTGATCAGCTCAACAAAAATAGTTTCAGAAAATGAGTCTTTTGTTGATTTTTTCCCTTTCTTTTTGTCAACAAGGAGAGGCCAATGTTCCAGATGGTAAAGAAGCAGAAAGCTTGATGCTTCATAATCATAATCAGATTTTCATCCCAGATGACATGGAAAGGAAACTGGCTGAAATTCCAGGTGAGTGAAATCCTTTTGGCTCTGTCATATAGTGTCTTTAAGTATGTACAGCAGTCTATTGACTGATGTAGTTTAGCCCTCAACTGCATAATTACATGTACAAAAAAGAAAACAAATAGTCAATATTGAAAACTAAATTAATTATACAGACTTCGTCACAATGGTATGTTTCACATGATCTACATTGTGTACATTAAATGGTTCGTTTAGATGACAGTTTAACGAAGGTAAGCATCCTAGAGGCAGACCCTCTGTTAGTGCTGGGAGTCACAGGAAAGAACAGAGGTTTTTTCTGCTTCCCTTCCCATAACTTCCAATTTGCCCAATGCTAAAATCTCTTGGTGGCACTATGCTTATGTGAGGCTTGTGATTTTCGAAACATGTCAAAATCGGAGTCGGAGCCAAATGATAGTTGTTTTGCTACTTTTACTAGTTGCTGTATCTGGTTGTGATTTTGTTTTGCTGTGTTGTGTTGTGTTGCATTTTGTATTTGTGTTGTATAAAGAAGGTTAAAAATAAGGCAGCCTTTAGTTGTGTTTTTTAGTTGTGTTTTTTAGTTGTGTTTTTTAGTTGTGTTT